CCCCCCAGGGCGGGGCTGGCTGCGTCCCTCGGGACCAGGGCCACTCTCGGGGTGCAGCCCCCCACTCCCGGCCACCCCTGTCCCCCGCGGTCGCTGTCCCCGGCCCAGGTGGGGCCGCCCACCCGCTCTGACTCAGAGCCAGAATTTAGGCCGGGCTCCAAAAATAACCCGGCTCCGGCAGCGAGCAGCCGCTGCTGCCGCGGCCGGGGGGATCCGGCCCGGAGGGAGCCCCCCGAAACAGCCGCGCGGCGCCTGCAGCCCCCTCCCCACGCCGGGCGGGCGCCCCGGACCCCGCAGCATCCCTGCCGCCCACCCGCCACGCTGCCGAGGCACTTCCCCTTCCTCCCTTCCTCCCTTCCTGCCTTCCTCCTCTTCCTCCCTTCCTCCCTTCCTCTTCTTCCTCCCTGGGCGCATCCCCCTCCCCCATCGCCACCTTGTCCCCAGGGACCCCCGGGCAGGGACCCCCAACCCCTCAAACCGGGGCATTTTGGGCATCCCCACCCAAAATGTGGAGCGGTTTTGGCCCGGCCTGGGCACGACACGGGGGGGTGGCACTGGGTGACCACAGCGGGTCCCGGTGCCACCCTGTCCCCACCACAGCGGCCCCGGCGGTCCAGGAATGGCCCTTAATTAACCAGATCATTAGCTAGGCCCAGGCCCTGCTGCCCCGGGGACGGGGACAGGGACATGGGGACAGGGATGGGGACAGGAAAAGGGATGGGGACAGGAACAGGGATGGGGACGGGGACAGGGATGGGGACGGGGACAGGGATGGGGACAGGAAGAGGGATGGGACAGGGATGGGGATGGGGACAGGGCCATGGGGACAGGGACAGGAACAGGGATGGGACAGGGATGGGGATGGGGACAGGGCCATGGGGACAGGGACAGGACAGGGACGGGGACAGGGACAGGCAGCCCTGTCCCATGGGGGGCACAGGGCATGAGGACACAGACCCCCAGCCCCTTTTTCTGTCCCTGCCAAAGGGGTGATTGTGTGTGGGGGATCACACACCGCACCCTGGGGTGCCCCACACCCTGGGGCACCCCTCACCCTGGGTGCCTCCCTGCCTCCCTCAGGCTCACCTGGATGGGCGCCGTGCTGAACTGGATCTTGCGGTTGGGAACGGGCTCCTCTTCCTCGGAGAGCCCCGGGATCTCCACGCAGCCCGACTCGGGCTCGTACAGCCCTTCGGCCTCCTCCTCCTCCTCCAGCCCGCTGCCCCCCGAGTCCTCCCCGAGCCCGCTGTAGGCACTTATGTCCACCAGGTCGGCCTCGGAGAAGTCCTCCTTCTTGGCCTCCTCGGAGCCGTCGCCCTCCTCCGCCCGCTCGCCCTTGACGCCCTCCGCGCCCGCGGCCGCCGCCGAGCCCCCGTCGGGCCGGGGGGCCGCGGGACCCTCGTCCCCTTGGGCCGGCCGGGCGGCGGGCACGGCTTCACCCGGCGCCTTCTCCTGCTGCCGCTCCTCCTCCTCCTCCTCCTCCTCCTCCTCCTCGCCCTCCGCGCTCTCCTCCACCTCCACGGGCTTGATCTTGCAGACCTCCTGCACCCTCGGCGCGGCCGCCTCCTTCTCCGCCGGCCTCCCGCTCTTGGCGGCCGCCCCGTCCTGCTCGGCCGGCCGTGCCCGTGCCGGGGCGGCGTGGGCATCGCCCGGCCGCGCCGCCTCGAAGGCGCGGGGCCGCTTGGCCGCCGCCCTGGCAGCCGGCGGCGCGGCCGCCCGCCCGGGCGCCTTGTGCAGGTTGTTCCTCAGGTCGGCCTTCTCGAAGACGGCGCTGAGCTGGCTCACGGTGGGCGACACGGCCTCGGCGTCCAGCTTGTCCAGCGACTCGGTGCTGCCGTTGAACCTCACCACCACGTCCAGCTTGCGGTCCTGGAAGCCGGCGCGCTCCTTGCGCAGCAGCAGCTTGGTGCTGGTGGCCTTCTCCTGCGGGCTCCTCTCGAAGATCTTGCGGGTCTCCTGCAGCTTGGAGAAGGGTTTCTCGGGCTTGGAGTCGAAGCGGCTGACGCGCTCCGAGACGCTGGTGCCCAGCTTGAGGAGGCTGCCCTGGTCCACGCCGTCGCCGAGACTGCCGGCGCGGGGCAGGGACAGGCGCACCGGCTTCTCCTTGGCCTTGGCCAGGTCGCAGGCGCCCTCGGGGCCGGGCGCCGTCCCCATCTGCAGGAACATGTTCTTGATCCGATGCACGTTGGAGCCATACTTCTTCCCGCGGCTCTTCTTGCCGTCCTCGCCCTCGGCCTCCTTTGTGGGCGCCAGCGCCTGGATGCTGGCCTCGTAGGCGTTCCGGTGCGGGGACGCGCTGCGCAGCCCCCCGGCCCCCGCCGCGCCCCCGGCCGGGGGGGCTCCCCCGGCCCCGCCGGCCTCGGTCCTCAGCATGGTCCCGGCGCCCGCATCGCTCGCCGCCACCGCCGCCGCCGCCCCCGGGCCCCGCGCCCGCTACCGCGCCATGGGCGGGGGGCTGTGCCGGGGGGCTGTGCCGGGGGGCAGCGCTGCCCCGGCCCGGTCAGGCCATGGCCATCCCGCGGGTCCCTCCGCCGCGGCGCTTCTTCCTTCCTGCCTTCCTTCCTCCCTCCCCGCTCCTCCTCCTCTTCCCCTTTCGGTGATGGAGCCGCCGCCGCCGCCGCCGCCGCCGCCGCGCTCTGCCCGCCCCGCTGCCCGCAGAGCCCTCTGGGTCTGAGCAGCGCTCCTCTTCCTCTTCCTCGGCCGCGCTTCGGCCTCAGCGCCGCCGCTGCGGCCGCCGCAGCCCGGCCACGGGGACCCCCGCGCCGGGGACCCCTCCCCACGCCCGCACCGGGGTCCCCTCCCTGCGGCGGGGCCCCACCGGCGGCCGCGCTGTGCAGGCTGGGGCCCCCCCGCCCGCCTCTGTCCCCGCGTGTCCCCCCCGGTTCCATCCCCGCGTGTCCCCCCC